TAAGAGTGAACAATACAAACACAATGTAAGAATTCTAAGTACTAATATATCTGTACAGGCAAAATACACAGGGAGATTTTAGGATAGTCAAGCTTCCTAATGTTCTGATGGTTCAGAATGAGGTTTGTGCTGAAATTCTATAAAGCCTACCTGCTACATCTCATGCATAAGAGCCAACAGAACTAAAAGAGACAAATGAGGAGTAAAATTTCAGCCTCATTAATGATAAGGCTGGACTGAGGAAGGGTACTGGGAGCAGGGAAGTCTCAGGACACAGAACATTACTAACTCAACTTGCCCACCCAGAACCAGGCTGAGAAAGGACCTGAGCTGGCAGAGAACACAGACTGGCATTGTTCAACTGACTTCCATTTGGTCACAGGCACAGAGAACACACTGAGGGAGTCAGGGAAGTTTCTGGTCCTTTGGAGGTCTCACAAATCTGAAAAATTTTTCCTCCAATGAGGAAGAACAAGGGGTAGCAAGAAAACCAGGAAGTATTTTCTCCTTGTTTTCTTCCTGTCCTGCTTAGGGAGAAATTCAGAGGTCTTCTCTAAAACCCAATTCTAGAAATGTGAGGCCTGGAGAACTGGCCTTCCCACTATCATTTCTGTTATTTGTTTTCCTAATCACCTCCTTTCCTAAACACAGAATGAAAACAGAAAAACAAAATGTTTAAGAAATATTCTTCTCCAGCTCTATTACCTAGCCAGTAAACTGTTTTTATTGTTTGTTTCAGTAATAGAAGACTACACACACATTAGTGCATAAATACACTAAGCACCTGGTGAATTCACACCATACACGCTGTGCTCTAACCTTGTAATGCTTTCAGAGAACAGTTGTCTACACTTTGCTCTTCAAGAAAATTGGTCTCCAGGCTGAACAGCGATTCGTGTTTTGCATCTGTGAATTCCTCTGGGGATCTGTTTGATGTACCAGGTGGCTCTTCCCCATCTTTTCCCTCATGGTCAGAAGATAAGGCCACAGCTGTAATTTTGAGAAACATTTTGTGTTATATTTCTATTGACAAGTGAAACCAAGTTACATTATTATATGATTATATGATCCTGGCAAAGATGATAAGCCAGTGCCAAACACTTACTATCCTGTATCTCAACAGCCTCAGCTCCTGCTTCTTCTTCTACACTCACATCACCACTACCATCTTCATTCATTTCTGTATCATCTACAATACTCTCTTCTTCATCTTTTTCCTCCTCCTCTTCCTCCTCTTCATCATCTTCTTCAGAAGCATTCTTCAATGTAGCAAGTAGTCTGTGGTATCCAGAAACTTGTTCTGGTTCACTGTCTGATTCACTTTCAGAATTTGAAGTATCTGAACTCTCGGACTTAAAGGAAAATGGGAATTTTTAAAAACAAAAACTGTATGTTTCTCCTACTAACCTAAGACTATTGTCAAGACAAAAGGTTCAGACTTTCCTAAATACAAAGAAACTTTTTGGCAATTATTGTGCAGTCTCACGATTCAACCAAGCCCAACACCACATTTACTTAAAACAGTTAATCAAAAAATGATTCTGGAAGCTCTTATGTTCTCTAAATGATAATGCCCCACATGAGAAGAAAAGTGACTTTTAAAACATAGAACTTTAGGTTCAAATGAAATTTAACATATGTCCCAGACATTAAGCTACATGTTTAAAGGAGCAAAAGGAAAATTACAAAACGACAAAAGAAAGTAGTTTGAGTTTGTTGTAATATGGATATGACCTTTGTTCATTTTGTGTTCTATTTGATTTCTTTTTTGATAAGAGGGAAAAAGAAGAGATACTTCCCCTTAGGATGCACTAAGAGTCATCTGGCAAACCTCTTCAACAAAGCGTAACAGATTAGTATCTCTGGACAGTTTTGATCTCTGGCTTACTACAATGTAATTTTATAGACACCTGCATTTAAAGCTAGGCAATATTACTAAAATAACAACTTACATTTGAAAACAGAAAAGTGTAGAAATGTATTCAGCTTTTGATTTTATAAACACTCTTTTTTTTTTTTATTCATATGTGCATACAAGGCTTGGTTCATTTCTCCCCCCTGCCCCCATCCCCTCCCTTACCACCCATTATAAACACTCTTAAAGGTAACAATCCAACTATTATAAAGAAGGTATAAAGCATTACCAGTTGACAAATCTGTGGTTTTGCTTCCTTTCTGGAAACCCTGAAAAGAAACAGGTAATGTTAAACTCTAACTACCAGTTTGTAATAATTAGGAAAATGTCTAATGATACAACTTTAAATTAAAAAAGGCAGAATATACCCTTATAAGTAAATTATAACTATAGCCATGTAAAAGCTATGTGCTTGGACAAAAATTACAAGAATATGATGAATCAGTAACTGGCAATGGGTTTAATATATGACAAAAACGAGTCACACAGTAACTGGCTTTGTCATTCAACAAGATACAAATGAAGGCCTCTAGGTTCACCTCTTATTGGCTAATCTTTGTTGTTGTTTTGTGTTTTTGAAACAGGGTCTCACTATGTAGCCAGGACTGGCCTTGAACGCACGATCCTCCTGCCTCAGCCTCACAAGCGCTGGGATTACAGCAGCCAAAGTGAGGGATACTAAGATCACAACTGATTCTGGACATTTCCAGAGGAATCCACATCTGCTTCCTTATGGAATTTGCATGCACGAGTGATGTCGAAGATCCCAATCAATTACTTAAGACACATAAAATGAAACCAACTTAGATCTCTGGCCACAAAAAGCCCGACCATGCATAATACAATGGATGGCACGTCTAGCCTGAAGTTTCAGGGTCAAGAAAATGTACATATCGACCCGTGAAGAACCCCGCCTCCTGGCGAGGGGCCCCAGAATCATCCCCAGCCCGGCATCCGTGGGGCCCGATTCCAAGCCCGGGAGGTGGGAAGCGTGAGCACAAGCCAGAGCAGCCCTTCCTTATCCAAATCCGGGAAAACGCCGGCTCCGGCCCGGAACCGACGCTGGCGGCGCCGGCCCCAACCAAGCCCCTCCGGACCTGTCATAGAAGGGATGCTCCTCGCCAAAATCCCGGAGATGCTTCTTCTGCTTTTTAGTCAGGGAACTGAGCAGCTGGCTCTGGCTCCTGCTCCTGCGTTTGCCCATGGTGAAGACGTCAAGTTCGCCCACCTTCAGTCAAGTTCTTCACCAGGAAGTTAGCAAGTCAACACACACGCGTGGGCTGATGACGACTCTTTACGGCAGAAACGGAGTGCCGTAAAGCACCGCCGCTTTGCGTCGCGCTTGTACGACAGGCGTCAGAATATCCGGGTCCGATTCTGCCCGCTGCGGAGGCTCTTTGGAACCATGTGTGGGTTTGCACGTGCGTTCTCTGAGCCCTACAACTCTGGCTGTGCAGTTCCCCAGCGTAGGGACAGGGCTAGGAATCTGCTTTGTGCTTCTCTACTGGTTGTGGGAATCAGCCTTGTAAATATGTAGTAGTAGAAATGACTTTATGTTGTACTATACTAAAAATATCTAGCAGCATTTAAGGGTGCCTGCACATCTCACTTCGACCTCACAAATGGGATACAGACAGGACTTGTTAAAAAGCTGGATGTGCCACATGAAAAAGCTGATGCTTAGAAAGGCCACACACTCGCAAGAGAGGAGATGGAAACCTAAACTTGTCTAAATGAGAACACAGGCTCTTTTCCACTAGGGTCTTGTACCTGCTTGTGTTATATCTAGAATGGGGCCGCCAGGCTAAGAGTCTCTTCCTTACTCCAGTCTTGCATTTTTCTGAGAGTGTTAGTAGAACCTCTGGAACCGAATCTTTCCTGACATTCCTCATTTGACAAAAGCAGATACACATCCAAAGAGGTAAAGTGACATCTTGTATATAATTACTAAAACTTTTAAAATGGTGAATTTTAGTGTGCACAGCTAATAGCCTAAATAGGGGCTGAGAGTGTAGCTCAGTGATATAAGCACTTGACTAGCATGTACAAAGCAAAATGTTTAAATCATTGTGCATGGTGTTGCATACCTGTAATCTCAGCAGAAATCTGGAGGGTATGGAGTTTGAGACCGGGCTGGGCTACATACAAAGCAAGTTCAAGGCTATTCTGGTTTATGTAGTTAAGACCTTGTTTCAAAAATAAATAGCAAGCAAAAAGAATTGGCAGTAGTACTTGAGGGATATGCAGCAGTTTGTAGGACTGCTCAAGACCACAGGATACCACAACACTACACTGTTTTCTCCTATAAGAGTAACTTATAATCATGTTCCATTAAAAAAAAAA